TCTCTCTCCCAGCTCTCTAACTGCTTCGACTAGCAAGGAAGCAGACAAGCAGCCTCTTCACTAACTGAAAGTTTGAATTTCCCCGCTTTCCCTGCCTTCCCCGCATATTAGGTATGCTAATATCTGTGCACTGGAGGTTTGTGGGAGGAACATCCAGCCCCTGATGGGGGTCCTGTGGGGCACCCCAAAACACTGAGTAGCTCTCTTGGCCTCTTTCGGGACTGGGGCTGTGCAGCCCTGTTCTGATCAGGAGGTGCAGCCAGGGGGTCACTATGCCTTTTGGGGACAGGGCACAGAAAGGCAGGAGGTTCAGAGGCCATTCCAACTCATACCTGGCAGGGGAGATACCATGATCATCAAAGGGGTTTTCCCAGGGTGAAGGTCATCTATTGCACTTTGGATGTGCTGACCCCTGTGATTTCCCCAAATGTGGGAAAATCAACTGCCTAAGTGGGGGACTGTGTTTGTGGTTTCCCCTGGTTTTTCTAGAATTACTCTTTCCCCTTTTGTCCTTGGCTGTTTTCGCTGCCTGCTGCCATAGGCCTGTTGGCCTTGCTGGTTTTCCAGGTGGGCTCCAGGAAGCAGATCCTGGAAAGCCAGCAGTGCAGAATGGTGAGGTCCAAACAGCAAGCAGTCTCTGGTGCTAGTGGAGAGGCCTCCCAGCATGGCAGTGGGGGGCTTCTGGGTGGTGGTGGTTGACTTGCGAGGAACCCCTTTTTTACTGTATTCGTTCCATAAGATGTACATACTTTCTCCCCCACTATTTGCCTACTGGATAACAAAAATGTGTTCTTGTGCTCCTAAAGGTTCTAGGAGCAGTAGTTTTCACATGACAGCGGGATGCTTCCCAATAGTTTTTAGGGCAGAAATTCAGCAAGTGTTGGCGAGAAAAGCCCAGCAGGGCAAGTTATACTAGAGAACAACAAGGGGAAGGAACACACACATGATCCTAAATGTCTCTACACTAATGCAGAGAGCATGTGGAGTAAACAAGATGAACTGGAACTCTTAATACAGCAAAATAAATAAGATATAATAGGTATCACTGAAACCTAGTGGGATGAAACTCATGACTGGAATGTAGTTATTGGGGGGAGGGATAAACTATTTCAAAGCAGCACACATCAGCTTGTGAGGGGGCAGAGCTGGCCAGGGGGTGAGGGGAGGGAACACATGGCACCTGGGATGCTGTGCTGGTGTCTTAGGATGCTGTGCTGGTGTCTTAGGATAACCTGGCATTAAGCGATTTGTGCCCATCTCTGCTCCATAGCCAGATACCTAACTCACTGAACTTTCCAGCCATGGGATGAAACTCATGACTGGAATGTAGTTATTGGGGGGAGGGATAAACTATTTCAAAGCAGCACACATCAGCTTGCGATGGGGCGGAGCTGGCCAGGGGGGGAGGGGAGGGAACACATGGCACCTGGGATGCTGTGCTGGCGTCTTAGGATAACCTGGCATTAAGCGACTTGTGCCCATCTCTGCTCCCAACTTCTGGCTCCATAGCCAGATACCTAACTCACTGAACTTTCCAGCCAGCTTGTAGTAATGTACTTAGTAGTGGACTTACTTTTTAATTGTGTTTGGGAGTATAGCAGCTTACTTCCTAAAACAGAAGTTAACTGCAGCCCATGAATGGTTACTCCAAATACAACATGTCCATTTCATAGGTGCTCTGGGACTTGTTGTTATTTTTGATGCAACAGGTGAAAGCAGTCCCCTCAATTGCTTTTAAAATTGTAATTATTATTTCAGTTTACCATAGATGAAGCTCTGAATTGTATGATTCATAGATTCAGCAATTAATTAAAGCTGTAAATGTATATAGTTATGGCTGCTTACATCCAAGTTGTGGGTTATACTTCCTAAAGCAAGAACACTGAACCTAAATGTAACATCATCATTTAACTCCTCAGGTTCCCATGTGGAAGGTGGTTGGGGAAAGGTATTGATGATGGAAGCCTAGAGAGAATCCTTATAGGAGAACTGCTTCCATCATCATCGGATGACGATCTTGGGAAGCAGTGTCGGACCCCACCTCAACAGAAGTCTCCAACCACAGTCCGGAGATTGAGCATCACTTCCCTCACAGGGAAAAATACAAGTAAGACCTTGCTGTTTATAGCAACGATAGCAGACAGGTAGCTAGCAAGTTAGCATGCCTGATAGTATCCACTATTGAGAACAGTTCATTATGTGGAGTCATGGGAAAGTTTTTTTCTGTCTTATCATCACAACTATGGAATGCTCCTCTTTTGGAGGCTTGATTGACACTGGCGTTAGCATCTTTTAGGAGCAAAATCAAAACTTATGTATTTATTAGAGCTTACGGGGGTTCCCACAGGATTCTGAGTGTAGTGTAGTGCAGCCACCTAGATAGCTCAGTGGTTTGGGCATTTGGTGCAGAGGTTGGGAGTTCACTTCCCCATGGTGCCTCTTTGACGGGGGCTGGACTTGATGATTCATAAGGCCCATTGAGCTCTGTGGTTCTAAGATTACAGTATTACACTTAGCTTAAGGTAAGAACAGTTCTGCTAGGCAGGATTAAAGGCCTGTCTGGGTTAGTGCAGTGGTGCCTCGCATTATGATGTTAATTCGTTCCAGCGAAATTGCTGTAGAACGAAAACATCGTAAAGCGAAATTAAAAAGTCCATAGAAACGCATTAAAACCTGTTTAATGCGTTCCAATGGGCTTAAAACTCACCATCCAGCGAAGAGCCTCCATAGGGCGGCCATTTTCGCTGCCTGACTTGCGAGGAATCCATCCCTAAACACAGCGGGGAGACATTTTATTTACCTGGCGGCCATTTTGAAACCGCCGATCAGCTATTAGAAAATCGTCGTTTTGCGAAGAATCGGTTCCCGAAGCAGGGAAGCAATCGCAAGAAAGCAAAAAAAATCCATAGGAAACATCGTTTTGCAATCACAAAAGCAATCGCAAAAAGTTCATCGTAATGCAATTTCGTCGTTAAACGAAGTGATCGTAAAGCGAGGCACCACTGTATTCCATTTCCTACAGGGGCCAATCAGATGCCCCTTGGAGACCTACCAGTAAGACACGAGATCAGCAGCTTTCTTCTGAAGTTGACCCCTAGGAGCTATTACATGGAGGCATGTTACCATTGAATATAGCTATATTGACTGGCAGTCTTTACCCCATGAACATGTCTGCTCCCTCTTAAAGCATTCAAAGTTGGTGGCCATCACCATGTCGTGTGGTAGTGAACTGTTTCTGTGCATGTGCTTTTAAAACCCCTGGCAGCTTACCTATACTTCTAAAGTTACAGATAACTTCAAGAATCACCTACAAGAACAATCTATTTTTTCCCCTTTTCTTGTTGCAGAACCAAATGCAGGACAGATCCAAGAAGGAATCGGTGAAGCTGTGAACAATATAGTGAAGCATTTCCATAAGCCTGAGAAAGAGGTACCTTCTCAAACCTTCGGATTCATTATCTTTACAAAAGGAGATTTCATTTGGTATAGAGTGATAACAGTGTTTTATGACAGAGCTGCAAAACCATTAATCCAATTAATTTCTTTCAAGGATAAAGTGTATCCGTCCAGTTTAGAGATGACTTGGCGTAAGTTAAGAAATCTCTGTAGACCTTCTGTTGGACACAGAATCACAGAACTTAATGTGCAACAAGTAATGTTTATAGAGATTTCTTGATTTATAGCCATTTGCTGATCCAGTTTAGAGATGACTTGGCATAAGTTAAGAAATCTCTATAGACATTATCTGTTGGACACAGAATCACACAACTTAATATGCAACAAGTAATGTTTACAGAGATTTCTTGATTTATAGCCATTTGCTGCCAAAAATACACCATAACTGTGCAATAGGATTTCCCCCAGAGTTGGGTCTTATAACAGTTGTGTCTTATTAAGCAGACTGCAGGCTGCACCTCTGGAAATTGTCCAAGCACATTAGATTTCCATTAGAATTTAGGAAATGACTGAAAAAGTAACACCAATTAGGCTTCTCTGTCCTTCGTCCCTTAAGCTCCTAGTGCCCTGTGTAAATAATTCTTACAAGTTCTTCCAAAGTGGTTTTTAAAAAAATCATTCCTGAAATAAGATTTTGGAAATTTGTCATGCTACACTATGCATATGGATGCGTTTCTCTCTCTTTTTGTAGAGGGGAAGCCTGACGGTTCTCTTGTGCGGAGAGAATGGCCTGGTCGCAGCACTGGAGCAGGTTTTCCACCATGGTTTCAAGTCTGCACGTATTTTTCATAAGAATGTCTTTATATGGGACTTTATAGGTAATTTGCATGTTTGGTTCAGCTGGGTTCTGTGGGGCAAGGACTCTTTGTCAGGCCACTCCCTTAAGCATCATGCTATTCTGGTGAAATCAAGTACCCCTAAATTTTACTCGCTTGCTAAGAATTGCTGGGCTAGCCCTTCCACTAGGAAATGAAAGATGGCCCAGTTCTGGCAGCAAGCCGGGGTACTGCTAAAGGACAGTTTCTTGGGAATTATTGTTCATCCCATTGTGTGTGGTGGGGGGAGTGATGGGATGAAAAAGAAGAGGTTTGCATCAGAGCTTTGAAAAGTTACTTTTTTGGATTGCAACACCTCGAATTCCTCAGCTAACATGGCCCATAGTCATATTGGTTAGGGAATCCTGGGAGCTGTAGTCCAGGAAATGAACTTTTCCTAACTCTGGTTGGATATTCTTACCATACCATGAAGGTACCATAAGAGACAGTTTAGCAAAAGCCAAAGTATCTTGAGATATCTCTGTGCCAGAGCTTGGAGGAGGGGGGGGAATCCTTTGTTGTTTTGTGTTTTTGTTCCAAATCGCAGGATTCTCATGGTTTCAGCTAGGGCATGCTAGGACTTGCTAGCCCCAAACCCTTAGTTTTCTAAGCTCTGTTTTAGGCCTATTCTTAAATTACTTATGCTAATGTGGCTGCTGCTTTTGTACATTCAAGTCTCTGCCACATTGCTGTAACTGGAAATCAGGGATATAGATGGGATGAGCAGATGGTTTGGTTTCTTCCTGCAACAGGGCTGCGTGTCTCCAAAATTCACAAGGTCATTCCACGTATAACTAAGACAAGATTTTATTTGGCACTTACCTACCTTCCCAATGTTAGGTTCAGCTAATAGGCTGATGTTTTCAGAGTAATTCTTAACTTGCAAGCTAATGTAAAACAGTAACTTGTGCAGAATAGTTTTTGCAACAATTGCCTTCAAGGGAGTAATCACTTGTGAATCCATGACATCTGTGTCTGAATGTGTTAGGAATGCACTTTAAGATCATAAATTAACTGTGATTCTCAAACTGACTGCCATTCATCAAGTCGTTCATTATCTAAGTGCCAAATTATACTTTTCAGCCTTTCCTTCCTTAATAAGTATTTGCATGGCCTTAAGTGAATAATTCTTAAATGCCTGCTTACTGGTCATTATCATCAATACTAGTGGGGTGGAAAAACAGTTTTGTAAAGCATGTTCGACTGGCCTAATCAACACAGGCTGCAGAATGGTTTGCCTTGGTGCAAATTTTAGATTAAGATGGGTGCAGCTTAATTTCTTCCTTTTGACACAAATACAACCCTGCCTTATAGGCTTAGCTTATTACTCTCCGCAGCTTGTATGGGTATGCATGCACACTTTGGCACTGAAGTGACAAGGCTCATTTCTCAACTGCAGCCCTGTTTCTGAGGGAAATACAAAATGGCTGCCACTATAACGTATGGTTTCACTGCTCCATATGGGCTGCCATCATGGTGGACCGTGTTATTTTCAGAAAAACATGTATCTTTATAGCATGAGTGGATCATTTTTGTTGAGAATTTTGATTATAACGTGCATTCTCATAACATCAGCAGAGTAAGGAGATATTGGTTAGCAGAGATACTTGTGACACTATGACATTGAGAGAATAAAGCCAACAACTTAGTCTATTTACATATATACATAGAGAATAGACATTCCTCTGGCAGCATAACATGGACATGAAGCAACGCACAGCATAGGAAAAAGTGATCTGACATACATCAGATAAAGACATTCATTTTACACACGACTTAGGTCTAGTTCTGTGAACAATCAGAAAATGCATTATTTCATTTTTCTGTTACACAAAGTTTAGGATCATGTACACAGCTGTACAACATTAAGTCTTAATCCTTGATACTCACACCTGAATACAATCAGTATAGTGACTCAGGTAAAACCAGCCGTTTTACATTTAACTATACAACATTAATATTTAATACATTTTCATATCAAAATCTCAACATTTTTGTGCCAATTCATTTTATTCCAAAAGCGCCAAGTTTAAATCTCCTCCAAAGAAAAGATAGTCAGTTGAAATAGGTTGGTCCAAAAACATGGTGATAATATGCTGTTCTATGCTAATTCTGTTTTTAAACTTGAAATATTGGGAACAATTTAACTTTAAATTTTTTTAAAGAAATAAAAATGAGATTTTATTGAAAGTAAACCCCACAATTTAAATTTTGTGTTTTGGAGAATGGTGGAGATGCAGGTTTCAGAAGGATTTATTTTCAAGTACATTTGTTGATTAATCAGTTGAAATTCCAGCTGTCTTAACCAGCATGACAAAGATGAGAAGGGGGTTTTAGGCTACTTTCTTCTAAAGTTACTGGGTTAGTTTCACAAATTTTGAATTGAATCTCTTTCTTTGCTATGCTAGCTTCTTCTAGAACTAAATAGTGACTGGCTAAATGTTTATTTGCATTTTGAGTTCAGTTTGTTTCTTGCTTTCTCTTTCAGAAAAGGCTGTTGCCTACTTTGATACTACTGACCAAATTGGGGACAATGAAGAGGATGTTCTTCTTCAAAAGTCCTCCTGCAAAACGTTCTGCCACTATGTAAATGCCATCAGTACTGCTCCAAGGAACATAGGGAAAGATGGCAAATTTCAAATTCTCATTTGCCTTGGGACTCGGTAGGTGTGAATTTGTTGACAAATTCCTCTGTGATGCCCCTTGCAGCAGAACTATTGTTTTCTGAACACGTTCTGGTGTCTTTTGGTGAATTTCTATCCCTAAGATGGGTGGCTGAGGTTAAGGGTAGCTTATCCAAAAATACTGCATCACTCAAAGTACGATTTTGAACCCAGGATTTTCCAGCACTCCATTTAGATCCTTTAAAATATCTCTAACTAAAACTTGGAGTGTTTAGATTGTTCTTCTAGTTACTTTTTTGATCCACTTTTTATATTGCATTGTATTCCTTGTTCTGAGTTCGTGCACATTCATGTCAGATGCCCCTGTAGCATTAAGTACAAAATATTTTGCCTCTTTATCTTTCATAGCATATGTATGGTGGAAACATAAATTACAAGTGCAGAGTATTAAGTTATTCCTCTGTCCATGGTATATCCACTCTTAAATCTCAGCTTTCAGATCTTCCAACTCACAAGATAGATGCACTGTATTTTTTCTTGGGGAACAATGTGATCACTTTTGCCTTTTTTACTTGTCTTAATCATGCTTTCCTTAGCCAGGGTAAATGCAAGTAGTTGTTTGAAAATCCATTTTAAGCCACCTTTTCATATCTTGATTAATTGATTAATTGATGTTGAGGTACCCCTTTACCATATGTTGTTTTCTTCTTTAAGTCTAGTTACTACACAAAGTTTCTATGTGTAGCTGAAGATTAGTTGATTGTTTCCTTCACAGGGATCACTTACTGCCCCAGTGGATTCCATTACTGGCAGAATGCCCAGCCATCACCCGGATGTATGAAGAGCACGCTCTCCTGCGTGACCGCATGATGGTCAACTCCCTCATCAGAGTCCTACAGATCTTGCAAGACTTTAACATCATCTTGGAAGGGTCACTTATTAAAGGGGTAGATGTGTAGCGTATGGCTTTGCAGACCTCTCTCTCTCTCTGTTTCTCTTACCTCCCACCCAAACAAAATATATTAAGTCTGGGAGGGTGGATCTACTGAAACGCAAATGCTGCTGGTAGCGCACCACTGTATGTTTAAAATCCGCTTGTTGACAGGCAAGAGTGGATGACTCCCTTATCATGTAGTCGCCTTACTGGTCTGCCCTAAGGCTGCAAACAAGCTAAGCTGCAGTATTTTAGTTTTCAAATGAAGAGTTTTAGTATTTAAAAAGAAAATAGGGTATTTTCATGTGTTCAATGTGTGTAAATAGGTTATCTTCATTCAGAAATTACCAATAAGAAACTTTTCTTAGAATCAGTGTTCCTGGGTTGGGTGGAAAATAGAGCTTGAAACATCTTTATAGGGTTGGGGGAGGGGAGGAGGGTATTATTTGTGGAAAAGGGGGGGAAGCCACTCTGTGTAAATATTGTACAAAGGTAGCAGAGGGGCTTTTTCATGTATTGCAAAGAACACATGAAGTCTCTCTGGGTAGCGACTGCTGTACCCTTTTTGTGGAATGTATACTGTTTCCGCTGTCCCTTGTATGTATAGATCTCTTGTTTTGCCACTTAGGTCCAATCCTTTCTGTGTGCTTTGAATAAGCTGTGTGTGTGACAGGGTTCTGGTTCTCTGCTGTGATTTTAATGGTCAGCACAAGTGGTGCAAAGAAATGACTTTGCACCGGACCGAAGAGATCCTTGTGTTTCCAACAGGAACCCATCGGAGGCCTGTTGGATGAATTTTGTTATACCAGAGGATGGCAACATGACAGCAGGATGCATTAATGTTTTGAATAATTAACAAACTGTTCAGTTCTCTCTTCCTGGGCTTTTGAGTACCCTGTTTTAAAGAGAATTTCTTGGAAGGAAAATGGGATGCCTCTGAAAGAAAAAGATGACTTTTATTGGAAGTGATTTAGGCAGAATTCCTGCACTGTTATTCCTGCACAGGTTGAGACAAGGGTGGACTGGTCCCTGGTGTCAGGGCTGGAGATCGGCACACTCCTAGCTTGTTGGATCATGCCATACTGTCGTTGTGGCACCACAAGTGCTGCACATTCCTTTCCCCCACTCTACCCCAGCCAGATTCCCACACACACGATGCGGCAAACACTCCTCTTCAGTGGTCTGAACAGTCACAACAGGAGTACAGACTTCCCTTCTCTGCCTCCTCCAGCGGCTGGCCACTCAAAGGCTGCACAGCAGCAGTCACAGTCCAGCGTCCTCATCTGAGTGGGCAGTTGCTGGAAGAGGCAGAGAAGGGAAATCTGTACCCCTGCCATGACTGGTCAAACAGTGGAAGAGGAGTGCTAGTCACCTTGTGAGTGGGAAAATCCAGCTGGGGAGTAGGGGATGTGCGGCACCTGTGGTGCCACGGTAACGATCCAGCAATCCAGGATCGTGCCTATCTCTAGTCAGGATGTGACACCTTCAGAGACCAGTGGCGGCCACATCTGAGTCTAATTACCTGCTGACCCTGGAATTAGTCAGATATGCCACTGCTGCAACTCTGATGGCTCTCTGTGGTACAGGAGGACGTAGAAAGCCGTCCTTCACCATAAAGCCCAATAAGACTGCAGAACAGAAAGTCCATTTCCCTTCCTGAAATGACAGGAGAGGAAGAATATGGAGAAAGAGGCTGCCGTTTCAGTTGTGTGGCTTGTGGTAGCAGGCAGTAGGGTCCAGAAACAAGAATATTTCCTGCTACTCCTCTAAAATGTCAAAACCTTCTGGCTGTTGCCTTTTCTTCCGGTACCCAGCCACAGACAGATTTTTTTTTTGCATGTTTTCCCCATGAGAGGCTGCTCCTACTTCACCCTTCCCCTGCTTTGCTTGTAACCCTTCACTTGGCTGTCTACATGGACCAGAACGGATCCTTGTAGCAAGTTACACTGGATGAGGCAACCAGAATGTGGCGAATTGTCCTTTAAAAACCACTTCCTATGAAGTGGGGTGAAGCTCACCCTACCCTTGGTACTGTTGGCGTGGATGGTAACTGCATTACATACTTCAGCATTCTGGTAATACCCAAGTGGCACAGGAAAGCAGCCCTGCATATGTCCCTAGTATAAGACCTTTTAAGGTTTTGTGTAGTTCTAGCAGTTTAAAGAGACAGGCAACAGATACTCAAACCTAGATGCTTTTCTGCCAAGTAAAGAAATTTTGTAGAGTATTTTTGAATAGTAGCAACAAAAGTACTGTAGGCAGACTTTTCAAGTTTAAGCACTCTTACAACTTAACACAAACTGACAGTTTGGGTAGCAATCCAGCATGTATCATCCCATTTCCCCATCTTTTGGAAACTAATCTTATTCATCTGCTCTCCAGGTCTTAATGATCCCTATCAGTCCCCCGTTGCATCATACCTGACACTAGTCTACTTATTGGAGACCCTTGGATGGAACCTACCGATACTAGTTATCACTGTATGGCGTGCACACACCATGTAGTGCATATACAATTGGTGCTTTCCTAATATAGTTTATTTCTAAGATGGAAAACTTCTTTGTGAAAGAGTGCATGAAAATAATGGGAAGGAGGCAAAATACATGGCTGCTCAGGAAAAGGAGAATAATTTATTTGAGTAATAGATGAGATTCTTGTGTGTGTGGGGGGGTACCTTGAGAAAGAACTCTTAAAGGATGTGATATGAAGAATCCAATGACTAATCTGGTGCCAAGTGTAGGACTCTCCTCTGGATTTGGCACTGATGTGCCAGTGGGCAGTGGGAAGGGACACTTGCAGGGGAGAAGCAGCAAGGATGTAACCCTACTGAATCTTCTTTCCAGTTGAATCAGGAGAAACAGCAGGAAAGGGGCTGGAGAGGCAACATAGGGAAGGCGACCAAAGTTCCAGGGATCCTGTGTTTTGCTATAGAGTTTGACATCATACCCTAAAGCCTACCTGCATTGGCCAGAGTGTAAGGTGATTAGCAGCAAGTTTAGATGATCGATGACGTCCATGGTCCTTGCTTGTTCTATGATTGTGCCCCTCTCCTGTTACTTTTTCCTGCTGCTGATACCCTGTGGCCTCCAAGAGGTCCTCGGCCTTCACTGTTTTTAGCTAGAAGGCCGCAAAGCTTGGGAGTTTCAACCATAAAACCATCAGAAAATCCCAAGCTTGCTTACATTCACGGTATTTTACTAGTTATCTCTGACTACTTGAACAACTGGATGTTAATCTTTGCCAAAATATTTGCTGAAATAGCACATGACTCTGATTGCATCAGTTTCACCCCAAAGGGGCACATGCAGTTGCTGGATGCACCTATTCAGGGGGAGAGAGAACTCTTTGATATCTTCCTCTTTTAATCAAACCAGCTTCCTATTTTCACCTAATCTTGTGGTCAGAAATAGGATGTTAAGAAATCATCAGACTATCTTGGGGATTAGCATGCAACCCCAAGCGTGGTATAATTTGGAAGAATTAAATCATCATCCCTCTTCAGTTACTTCTCCTCGGTGAAATAAACATGATTATTGTATTTAAAATGTCCTTTCAAAAATTCAGGTATTTATTATTCCTAGAAATACATCCTCCTTTCTAATTTTCCAGTAGTCTGCAAGTAATCAGTATCATTTGCCTGTCAATGTTTGTTTTTCCAGTCTCAAGACAAAGTGCAGATGGCTTTTTTGGTCTGTATGTTGCTGGACATTTTACATATTACTGGTAGCTAGTGAAAGCAGTTAATGCCTTACAAATATAAATTGGGAGGACTCAGCAGGAAAATAGAAGGGGTACTCAAACATCCATATATACTTGTTTTTTTGCATATCACAAAACTAATCCCAAACTCAAGAACCCTGTGTTTTGAGTTTATTAAACGGCATTAAATATTGCATGGCTCCATTCATTCTGGAAGGATGCGGAGCAAGTTCGGTATTTAGATCCCAGCCGAGTACAGTGGTGCCTCGCACAGCGAGGGTTAATCCGTTCCGGATTAACCCTCGCTGTGTGAAACATCGCTCAACGGAAAGTAAAAAGCCATTGGAACGCATTAAACAGCGTTCCATTAAAACAGTTCCAATTCGGCTGAATACTCACCGTTGTGCGATGTTCCTGGAGGGCCGGCAGCCATTTTTGCGCCCTCCCCTCGCTGAACGAGGGCGCGAAAACGCTGCGCGCAGCCATTTTGGGGCGCGTGGCGGCCATTTTGGACCTGCCTAACAGCTGATGGCCGGGTCGCAAAGCAAAGGTCGGTAAGCGAACCGCTTACCGACCTTCGCTCTGTGATTTCCCCCTATCTAGGTGCCGTTTTAAAACGGCATCGTTACGCGGATTCGTTGCTCTACGGAGCGACCGTTGTGCGAGGCACCACTGTATAGGCCTGCATTACATCTGCTGATCCAGTGTATAGATCTTCTGGAGCAGCCCTCTCCAACACAGTGACCTCCACATAATTTTTATTACAGCTCCCATTTGACTGTGACAGGATTTCATGGCATGGGGGGCGGTAAGTAACTATGGACGCTACACATGGGCACTTCATACTCACATCCTGGGGATATGAATACGAACTGTGGCAGTCAAAGTCCCTCCCCCTGAACCAAGCAGGTACACTCACTTGAGTCTGCCTGGTGTTCCTCCATTGTTGTTGCATCAATCATAGGAGGAGCCCAGGCGGCACTTCCCTGCCTTCCCAGAAAACCAAACACTGATCAGCTGAGTAAAGACTCCCCGTCCTGCCTCTGTGCTACAGTGGACAGCTGCACGGGGAGGCAGGGAAGCATCAGTCAAGGCGCCTTCCACGATTCACACAACAACAGGAGTGCCATGCGGAAACCAGTGAGTGGACTTGGCTAGTTCTCGGGGAGGGAATTCAGCCTCTGTGACACTAGTGGTACGCTGGCTCATATTCATATCCCCACAATAACAAATACAAGTGTCCATGTCTTAATTGGCACAAATAAATGACCCCTCCTTGTTAATGTTATGTGCTTGAAATTCACAGTAGGTCTCTAGCCTCTTGTACTAGTATGAGGCGTTGAACATCCTGGCTGGCTGCATAATTTCTTTCTGCAAGTCATTTATTTGTCATCTTTTTGTCTCTCATGCCACCTGGATGGTGTACGAGGATCATTTTGCATATGCATCTTTCCCTTTAGGCAATAAAGTACTGTTCAGTTATGTAGTTATATCAATGTTAAGGTATTTTTGAAGCATGAGATTGCTCTGGTAGACTAGTCTGTTTGACAACTTCAGGAGTGCAGTTCTTTGTGACATTTTATTCCCATTGTGTGCAACTCAGAAAACCTATTGTGTGCAACAACAACAAAAAGCAGACAGACAGCTTTCACCAGTTTGGACTGAAGGGTTTATTTTATCAAACCTACAGAAACCATTTCAGTTTCTTGGAAAGGTGAAGACTTTGTCGTGGTTCTGTGCAATTTAATAGCACCCTTTTGACATCAGTATTAATCCACCTTTATTGAAGTGAGATACTGCACTTTTTAAAGTGACCAAAGCTTTCTACTAAATTCTGTATTCTTGGACTATGGCTCAAATGTTCTCTATACTGCTGCAATATAAATGTAGTAAAAATGACTATATTTAAACTAATTAGTAAGTAAACAAGTAAATCTCAGAAGTTAACCAGAGTTAAGGTGGTCTCGGTATTGGAGAAACCCCATCAGTCCATCTTCTGGGTAGATTCTTTTGCAGCCCATTTACTCAGAGGTAAATTTCATTGTGTTAAGTGGAACTGACTTCTGAGCAAAGCAGTTTGGGATGGAGCTGTTAACTGCCTTTTTTGGGGGGGTTAGAATATGTTTTAGAGGTGCTGCAGATCTTTATATACTTTGATTTCCCTCTTGTCAAACGCAGGTGTATATCTCATCAGGAAATGTTGTATGTTACACATGAAATGTACAAATATACCTGGTATATTAAAGAACTTCTTCTTCCCCTCCACTCCTTAAATATTTTCAGAATATGTTGTTGTCTTATGTTATACATCATTAGTGAGTTAATCAGGACTGGATAATGTTCAGGAAGTGGGTATCAGTAAAAGTATTGTTATTTCAAGCACTTTAGCATACATATCACAAACCGATGTGGGTTGGTTTCTTCCCCCCATGGTTTGGATTACAGTTAAATGCAGCTTTTCATGCAATGGTCTTTACAAATAAAACTGTGAGGATAATGGAAATGTGTCATGTGATGTTTCATTAAATCCTGAAAACAGTATGTGTAGAATTTAATGGAATGGCCTAAATTTCTAGATACTACCTTACTGCTCTTTCCACCTCGTTTTCTTTCTCACGCAACTCCCCTAAACTGTTTAGTACTTTTCTTAAATATTTACTTGTAACTCTGTTAAAGGATATGGTGTTGAAGAAGCATTAAATATAACACAAGAACCATATGGAATGCACAGGATCAGTTCTACACAAGGCTAACAGAAACATTCCCACTGATGTGTTGTCTTTTATAAATCCCATCAGTAAGACCAACTTTTACTGGGAGCAACAGGTTTGTAATCCCTATTCTGGCTCTCACAGTGATGTCTGCATGACATGTGTGCTTACCTTTACATATGTTGGGAATGCAGATGGTGTCAGGTGAGCCTCAGCCACGCAGAGGGCTGTTGTTCAAGGTACAATTGTGTCTTTACAAGGTCATTCCCATCACTTTATCTGCAGTAGTTAACTATTTGGGTTACACAGAGGAGTTATTCGTTTATCTCATTACATTTCTGTCCTGCTTTTCTCCAAGTGCAGGGACTACAGGCAGTTTACAAAATGATTTTTTTTTAAATTACTCAAACATAGTAAATAAAATGCAATTAAAAAACACCATAAAAACACACATCAGAAAGAGTAAAGAGGCACATGATCTTTCATCAAAAGCTTCGTCCCATGAAGCTGTTCAGCTGTCAAAGGCAGATCTGAAAAGGAAGATGTTTGCCTGCTGATGGAAAGACAGCAGGGAGAAGACCAGCCTGCCCTCCCATGGGATGAAGCTCCACCGTCGGGGATCTGTCTCTTGGGTCTACACCAGATGGGCCTATGAAAATTGCAGGGCCGGGGAAAAGGGGCCTTCCACACAGTTCTTAACAGCCAGAGTGGCTCAGATGGTAAGATGGCATCTTTGGGATAGAGTGGAACCAAACCGTACAGAACTTTGTAAGACAAAAACAGCATGTTGAATTGGGCAGAAACTGGCCACTGCAGCTGCTATAACAAATGGTGTAGACTGAAAATGCAGGTGCTCTTCCTGACAGCTTCTACAGCCAGCCAGCATTCTCCACCAATCACCACCCCCAAAATAAGAATTCAAAAAGCAGTAAACTAGGTTGGCTCATACCAGCAAATGACAAGCAGGTTTTTTTGTAAAGCTAGTAGCTCTTAAGACCAAACTACCCTCAAATGTTTTGCAATACAGCAGAGATGGCTGTTAGTCTGTGGAACTCTTTGCCACAGGATGTGGTGATGGCATCTGGCCTAGATGCCTTTAAAAGGTGATTGGACAGATTCCTGGGGTCCCTTGCAGGTTACAAGCCATGATGGGCATGTATAATCTCCAGGCTTAAAAAGGAAGGTACTTCAAAATGCCAGATGCAGGGGAGGGGAATCATGAGACAGGGATCTAGTTGTTTCATGTGCTCACAGAGGCATCTGGTGGGGCCAGTACGAGATACAGGAAGCTGGACTAGATGGGCCCTTGGCCCTTATGGCTTAGAGTAATATACAATTCTTAAGAAAATTCTCTCTATAGCTAAGCTCAGAGGAAAGAGAAATTTGGGGGGCAGAGTGATGTCACAATCTCCATTATTCAGAATTTGAGTACTTTGACGCTTGCTTCCCCTGGTTCCACTACAACATTACTTATATAACAAGACAGTTTTAAGGTGCCAGTATCATACATCATCCTCCAGACACTGCATATCTTCTTGTATTGGGCTACATATACTTCCAAAGCATTGATATTGAAGAGGATGGAAGCAAAAAATAAATCTGTTTTCAAGTAATTACAGATACATCTCTAAACTCTTCCCCAAGAAATTTGTTGCAATTAGAAATATTAAGTAAGGTTTATAGTCTCTTTCTAGTAAGTAACGTACTAAAATTTAGAAACTGGAACGTTATGTGCGCTTTGGAATACACCATATACAGTGGTGCCTCGCTTGACAATTACCTCGTTAGAGGAGGAAATCGCTTGCGATTGCAAAACGATGTTTTAATAGGCAAAAATTGCTTAACGATGATCGGTTCCCTGCTTCAGGAACCAATTTTTTGCTTAACGATGATCTTTACAGCTGATCGTCGGGTCTTCAAAATGGCTCCCCACTGTGTTTTAGGACGGATTCCTCACTTTACAGGCACCGAAAATGGCCGCCCTATGGAGGATCTTCGCTGGACGCTGAGTTATTTCACCCATTGGAACGCATTGAACCAGTTTTCAATGCATTTCAATGGGCTTTTCCGTTTCACTTGACGAGGACTTCGCTTAACAGCGATTTGAACGGAACGAATTATCCTTGTCAAGCGAGGCACCACTGTATTCTTGTCTTCTTCAGTTCACCATTGTCTCAACATCCAGTGTGAGGGCAGCCCCCTTACAATAATACAGGTAAGTTTTAAAACCTAGTTTCAACACACAACATGCAGGTGTTCCTTATTACATTAATGTATAATCAAAGTAGTTATTCACAGCTTTTTACTGGATGCACAATATAGTTCAATAATTATGAAGGGCAAAGACTCAATGTTTGAGGAATGACTGAGCTAACAGATATGCAATGTGTTGAGTTCTTCACACTACTTAAACACAGGATTTAATTAAAATTTTGCAGACACTTCCTCAGATTCAGGTGGTCTGTCCAATGTTAACAGGTACATTAAGTTAAATATTTCTTTTAACTCATTGTGTTAACATAATCCTGCATGATGCTTTTCTCCTTACATGATGAAGCAGTTATTATGAGGGTTTCTCTTCT